ATGTGATATATTCATGGCGAAATATTAGAGGCGCTAACAGATCAATAAACTGACGAATGCTGGAAGAACACATCATCATCGACGAAACCATAATTGTCATGCATTTTGGTAACGACGCCAACAAAGGTGCGCTGATTCTTGCCGGCTACTGCGGGATTCGGGGCCTAAATAATGCACTTTACTTATACAAATACATGACAAAAGCGTTTGATTTGTACCTGCGCTGCTGGAGCTCGAACAGATGCCGATGATGGAACTGCACCCATCACACCCATGCCCATGACATTCTGCTGCGCAAAGGCGGCTTGGTTCACCATACCCATAGGAACACCCATGCCTTGAACTCCCATCATGGGAAAAGCTCCTACTCCCATGCCAAATCCAGCCATTTGATTTCCAGCCACTAAATTGTATATAAATATAATAAGTTTTAAGAATGCAGTTAGAGGTTCGCGAAGGCAGCAGTAGTGACTGGCAAGCTCAGCAGTAAGCCATTGCACACTTTCGTTTGACAAACATTTTTTGTGCGTCCTAGGCTGCTGTTTGCACAATGTCAGATTACTCTAGTTGTCGCAGCCTTTCGAACACTGAGGGAGAACGTAGTGCGACCGGCTTTCTACTCAAAAGCAAAGTTATCCATTCTCCGCCTTGACTTTTCCGAAGATTTTTGCTGCGCTAAACCTAGATGGGCTTCAGAGCTCATGAAATCCCATAATTAGGCGTACTACCTCTAGAATATAATCAGAACAGCAGGATGGCACGCAACATCGCAATATCGCGCAGACCCAATTTCATGAAAGTTTTGGGAGAAATCAGAGGCCATATTCATCTTGATACCTTGAGGTAAATCTTAAATCCAGGTAGTTTTATCACTCATTATCAGCAGGTAACCAAGTACCTTGAGGTAATTCTCAATGCTGACAATGACTGATAAAACTACCTGGAGGTAGGATTTACCTCAAAGTATCAATGATGATTACGGCCTCAGAAGGAAGCTAGTTAAGCGATTATCTCTATTCGCGTCAATATTATATGAATTTAGACCATATCTTGGCTCAAGAGATATTATATTTTAAGAAAATCATGAACTTCTTTTGATTTCAATAGAAACGAATGTACAGGGTGTCCCAGAAGTAAGTA